TTCGAGCTTCTGCGCCGAAGTGATTTGATTTGGAAAATTCAAATTATTCTCTCTCCAACCATGGGTAAAAATTCTTCGAAAGTTAATTTAATAAAAATTTAGTACGTTGTTACTTTTTTCTGTGCAAAGCGACTTTTTGACCTTCAAACGATCATAACTTCCTTCAAAGTCATTCATTTGGGAAGCTGAACACGTATAATAAACTACAGGATTCAAGCTTTCTAACGAGCACCCAAGCGTTCCTGAAAGTCAGCAGTTCAAAAATTAGTCCCGTTGTTACTTTTTTTTGAGGGGTATTCTTCAAGCCATTTTCTCGAAAACGCGGGTTTTCTTAGGTTTCACTGCCCGTAACTTCTTGGAAGACCAATTTCATGTTTAACTTAGGATGTGCTAGAAAGCTTCGAGCATGCGCTTGCACTACATCCCTTGCCTTGGTGCGCGCCACGCCTCGGGCGCCCTTCTAATTCGCTGATTCATTTGAAAGCTCATTTAGAAGGAAGCGTGGTTTATAGATGCTCTAGTATCAGTTATCTTGCGTAAACGTAACGTGCTGGCTATTATCCATGTTTTCACAGGCAGTACTCCAGCTACACTTTAGTTTCATATGTGGTTTCGTGGCTGGATCCGAGTCATGGTGCGAGCACTTTTGCATGTCTTGTCTGTCTGAACGAAAAAAGAGTGGCAATCGAACCTGAAAATAATGCATTTCATAACTATTTACATATACACTTTCTGTGCTGCGTTTGCTCTTCCCCTTCGTACCACTATCCATGATCAGTAGGATATCACCAAGAATCCCACTGCCGGCCACCGAGAGAGTACGACCCCCCTCCAAGCTCAACTGAGTACGACCCCCCGTTGTTACTCGTAACAACGTAGGGTTGACCCTGGTGGGAAGTGTTGGAACGGGAGTCAATGGTTGCGGGCCCGTAAGGATTAGCGCCCTAACCGCGCAAGTTTTTGCGACGAAGCTGGAGTGATCTAGGTAGGTACGGACCTTACAATTTCCTCGTGGTATCCCTCCTACTAGTCGGGCTAATCCCGGGGTTTGCCTTTAACCACAAATTATAATTTCAGCGCTTGTGCACAGTAATACTGAGAAGGTTCTGCCAGAACTGCATGTAGCTGACTTACGGTTCACAGATACACGGGGATAGCTGGAAAGTCCAAAATTGATGAAGTCGTGCCCCGAACAATCACCAGTTTGAAGGGTCTTCCCTTAACTTCTAGATACTTTTGTGTAATGAAGGTGTCACGCTTTTCCGATGGAGTGTGATAGACGATGTGGAGCGGATTCCTTCCTACAGCTTACGAAGCTCTCCTGAATGAGACAAGATTATAATGTTCCCTTCCCGCGCTTCCATACCGTAACCCCACACGCGAAAAATTAGCCGCCAGGTTCAGTGCTAATGATGCCGGCGCACAAAAGGCACTCTGTCCTACGCGCAAATTTGTCTAGTATGTTTCGGCATGCTTTGCAGTTTCCTCCTGTGAGTTTTGGGTGCAAGGAAGTAAAGAGGTAAGTAAGGCACGGCAAAACGATTTCCGCTTTGCCTTCTTTGGTATACCGAAGTCCTTGGATTTTCACTCAGGTTTACCTTCTAGGGTTGCCCTAAAGGGAATTCATTCCCTTTATGGCCAGATATTCCAACCCGTTGAAGGGAAACTGTGGGCCTCAAGTGGCTTCTTACCCACGACGGACGTTGGATTTGGAGAGGGTCCGGGGTTCGAATAGAAGGAGAGCAAGTCTCTGCACTTGATGACTGTCAAGGGGGGAAATGCAACCTTCGCATCTCCGGCTTGCCCATCCAGGGTGGTTCCTAATTTGTTACAAGAATTCCGCCGTAACTTATACGCGCTT